GACGAAGCAAAAGATCCCCCTCTTCTCATTCTCGTGCCAACATCTTCATACACTCGTTGCAGTAGCTCACAATCTAAGCGTGCGGAACTGGAGGAAGGCTTGCCTTGGACATGCAACAACTAGAAAAATCAACTTGTACCGTCACTATTACCGATTCTTCTATAGCATAACCACTGTCAAACCACAGAGTGTTGTCCTCCCCACCCACAAATAGAACCACCACTCTTCCAAGGGGAAAGTCTCCTGTTTATTCAAACCTGAACACCCACATTCAACATGCACCAGAACGTCAAAAGTACGGACCACACGAGTTGGATTAGCGAAGTAGTACAGAAGAGACAGTTGCTAGAGCCACGGTGTGCTGAGTTGACGATTTTTACGGTTTTAAAGGCCTTCGAGCTCGGATACCCACGTTGCCCTACGAGAAACGCCTCTCAAAAGTAGACACGTTGCGTTTGGCCATCGGCTACATCAAATTTTTGCAGGACCTTGTTACCAACGAGAACTACCAAGCAAAGTCGAGTGAGGGTAACTGCAGTGAGGGGGAGAATAACAAGATCGATCAGCCGTGCGAAGCACAACAACAGACGCAAAGCTTCATAGCGTCTGTGCAAAGATTTGCCGTCAGCGCAGCAGCCAATAGCGACGGAAGCGAACGTTTCAACTGTTCCCATTCAGCACCAAACACCGCCTCTTCAATCCATCAGTCAGCACGGAAAGTCATTCTCAACCTCTCCGTCCGCAGTAAGTTCCGCTACTTTCAAGCGAATGCAGCGTGCTGAGCTCCCACTCCGTCACATCGATCTGACGTTTTCAGTGGCTTGCAAAATAACCGCAATGAACACGCTCGACAGTGAGGCAACCACCGATGACCTGATCACACGACCCGGCCAGACTTGGCGCCGCGTGCACGACCACTACGTGACGAAGAGCATTGTAGATGACGCACCTGTCAGGGAGGCTGTCCTCATCGGGCACAGTCTTAGCTGGCACCAACGCCCAAATACCTTCGAAATACCCCGAGTGTCCCCAAACAATAAGAGAACACTAGTCACAAAACTTTGGACACCGCAACCAAACCCAAGTCGCTAAATAGGCATTGCCTTCCCTCCCAAGACATTACGACCGCTCTTAGACAAACGCATAATCCACGGCGGACACAAGCAGCGCATCCGCCCTCAAAAGGAACCAAGAGAATTCGGATAGGAAAACAGTCCCAACCTAGCTCTTCGTAACCAATATGCAACCGCAGAGGGTAGGAAAACCAACATCAGTACTGAGTACCTGAAACGAAAAACTGAGAAGAATGCCATTCGAACAACAGCCTCACTTTATTAATAAAACGAATTTCCGAC